ATTTTAATATAAAACTATTCTGAATAGATTCTATTTAGCAGAACATTTCAAGTAGTTGCAACGGTACAATCGTTAAAAATATAAAAAGTAGGATTAGATATATACAGAAAATATATAGAAAACAGCAGACGAAAGAGTTTGTCTTTCACTTGATGGTATTTTTCACACGCAAATGACGATATACTTCTTGCTATTGTCATTTTTGCCATAAAAATTATTCAATAACATAGTAAATATTTGTGAAATTTAAATATGGTTCTTGTAGCATATTTATCTAATTCAATTTTTTGTAAATACTTCAAAAATAGTTTTCCTATAATTAAACAAAATTATCTGATTTTTGTCTGATTAGCCTACGAAAATCATTAAATAAACGACAGACAGTGTAATACAAAATTCAAAAAAAATTTTTTGATAATGCCTAACATTGCATACATTTATTTTTTAAAGTTTCTAATAAATCTTGAAAAATGGAGAAATTGTTGAAACTACTTTAAAATCAATGAAAAGATGGGAAAGTATGAGACTTACCACGTATACTTTGTGTCAAATTCGGTATAATATTACGTATTGCATTGTTTTGACAAATTATTTTTGAATACAAGATTTCTAATATAATCACACTTGTCCTGTTGTGATATACATTTTTTCCAAGAAATATACGATACCTGTAAAGTAATTGAAACATTATTGTGTTAATTATACTATTATAATATAAATGTTATAAATAATTTTATAATTTAAAAATTAAAGACCTACTTAAACTGTTATGGAAATTGAGCAACAATCATAAAATCGATTTTTAACTTGATCGATTTCTTTGCAGAAATAATGCTTTGTATTTTCGCATTACTATCTCTAATCTGATTAATACATTTATTGTCATCTCATAAAACTTACCATGATTGGCGTATAGCCTATTATGGATAGCTGTCTCATTTTTGCAACTAGAAGTCCAATAGGTAAGTTCGTGTTTCTTATTAAAAGGCTTTGGGAAGCCAGAACAAGAGCGATCCACCTGACGTTTTTTGAATCCTTATCTACACGTTTAAATTCGCCCTGTTTAAATTGCGATATAAATTCCTCCGATGGTACGAGCTGGTTTTGCTCATCCAGACAGAAAATTATATCCAGTTGTGCATAGTGTGGTAATGGTCGAACGGCCGATATGTTTGACGTAGTATTGAATATCTCCTGTTAGAATACAAGCATATATATATATATATATATATACATATAAAATTGTACTTTATGCAACAATAGACATACCTGGCATGTTTCCAGCACACTAGTGAGAAGTAAATTTGCATGAGAGTGCGTCGCTGTGGTTGTGACAAATGCCTCAAAATGTTTCTGTAAATAAAATGTAAGACGATTAAATCCATTAATCTCATTTAGAAACATTATATTCATAAATCTTTATAACATATATAGCAGAGTCTGATTATATTTCTTTGATTCTTTTGCATACCTTTTCTAGGAAACTGCATGTAGCAGGCTTAAGAAATGGCCCTTGATATTCAGGTACTTCTAATCGAAGGCTGTAGTCCAATACGCAATATTCGGCTGTGAGGAAGCGATGATTATTATAGCAAACTTTGTTAATGAATGCCGGTGTCATGACACATTGAATCAGATCAGTAGGATATATACTCTTTCTTGCCAAATATCCTAAAGTACGTGCAGCTACCTGTGGAAACCTATTGCGAAAAAGTCTCATAAATATTTCTGAAATAGTTTTTTTTTTTTTTTCCTAAGAAAAAGTTATAAAAAATATGACTTTCCATGTCATTGCTATAACACTTACAGTGATATTTCCCTCGCTCGGCTTGTGTCCCAAGTAGCTCTTAATTCCTCAACTACGTTCTGATAAATGTTCGAATCGATATTAAGACTAACAAAACTGAAAATGAGTCTCTCGATATCCTTTAATCTCGCAGTTTTTAATTCGCTATTGAATCTGAAATTATATATCGTATTCCTTACATCTAATTTCTAAATTTATGACAATTCCAAATACGATAATAAAACTTACCTTGTAATTATTATGTCCATAAGTTCCTTATCGTACCACGAACCTCGCGCGCACGCGTGCGAAATGTGCGTTAGAGACATCAGTGTAAAGCGCGGTAAGTGCGGTATCAAAGCTGTGCATAAGTCTTCAAACGTTTTTAATTCGGTGAGTTGCATGCTGTACCTAGAAGCAAAATGTTAAATCTATATAAAATAGATATTTATAAATCAGTAAATATTTAATATCTTTTTACCGTATTATTTTTAAGAGTGCTCCAATACTGACAGTGCTCACTGCTTCCATTTCAGTAATAGTCTTTTTTATGATACGAGTCACAAAATTAGCGCTTTTAATTTGCGTGCCAGTCTTGAAGAAACCCAAAGCTGCTATACCTAGCTCATTGATGGACAAGTCATCTATACACTGCTCCAAACGATACTCGAGCTCGTACATATTTATAGGCGGTTTGCGGCACACATTCAGAAAGAACAAAATTTGTACTAGTTGATGCGGCTTAAGCTTACTGGGCCTATTGCCTAATTTTTTTATAGAGTGCCATATGTAAATAGAATGAATTTTCTTCATTTGATACAATATATCACAGAGTAACAGTGTCTCTTGGATGTTCAATTGCAAGAATCTCGCTGTGCATTCTCTATCCACTTGTTCGCAAAAGTTTTGATAGAAATTACAATCTTTCAGATGTTTCTGAAATGGTATAATATACCGCATTAGTATTATCAAATCTTTGTCACTTAATTTCTCATATTGTGTAGATAGTGCATTGAAGACATCCTTATACTTGAATCGATCAATGCTTTCCTTTGAGGAGGAAATGTTATAAGATAGCTTCTTGATAACCGACAGTATTTCTTCGTTTTTCGTAAAAGGTGCACTCCAATCCTTTTCCAAGATCCTCAAAGCTTCTTCGTTCGTAACATGGGCATACGTCATACTCGGCTGCATCACGGTGTCCTTGTAGTTCAGCGAACTCAGGAACAGATTGTGAGCATAGTCGTTCTCCTTCAATTGATCCGAGGTGAAGTTTATTGTACTACCGAATTTGTCAACAATCTTTTGATCGGTGGCAGGTAACGGGAACTGGTGACTCCGGCGCAAATTATCCCAATTGCATATCGCATAGTGCACGCGCGACCATGTCAAAGCGCTAAACCTACGTTCCTTCAGCGTGCCGACCCATTGCGGACACTTGCGCTTGTCACATAACCTTAATAACATAGAGTACGTGCACCGCAAAGAACTAAATTTCTGCGCGAACACACTCATTATAAAAGATCAATTGGTGTAATAACTAGACTGAGATAATATTCATTAAATCGAATACATCTACGTCACAAAAATGAAGTAAATTTCTTTCAAAATTTGAAATACATCACTAATAACAACGTCGGTTCTTCAAACGACACATGTATAACAAAAACTATGTAGTATTTATAGATAGTGAATCCAATCTATGATCTTTCGACGAGCCATCTTGTGTGAGAAATGTCAAGCTCAAGACTTTTTATAGTGTTTTCGAATGAACGAATTTTAATCCATGCCAAATCAATTAATCACCATTTTACAATAAATTCAAATTTTTTATTGGCGAAGATGATGCGATGTCATTAATCAACTTTGGGTCGATCAAAATTCGTTCACTCGAAAACACTATTAAATTACTAGTGTAAATTTATTTTGAGTTTCTATTCATAATGTTGAATGTTTTGTGGAGGAAAGATTGGCGCCTTATTAGATATATGTTTCAATTTTCAAGATATTGAAATCTGTAAGATTAAATACTTTGGGAAAATTGATCAAAAATTGTTTACAAACAATAATTTTATTTCTAAAATAAAATAGCATTATTTGCTATTTATTACATAAAAAATAACTCTATTTTCAGAAATAATATACTTTTTTCTTGTAAGAAATAAATGGAAGTAAATAAATTCGAGAATTAATTCTAGAATCAATTTGTAATTTTAAAGATCGTAAGTTTATAAAATTGTACAGAATAATTTTTTATCAATTAATCCGCTTACGCTTTGCAGATTCACTATAAAAATAAATTAATAAAAGATAATTCAATAACTTATAGAAATAGTGACGATGTAGTATATCGCAGGCCTCATTTTTCCAAAAAAAAATTTATAATTCCCAGAACAATAAATACATCGATGACGTGATTGAAGTTTATTGTTGTGCGATGCGATTAATACACGTTTAGCTGCTGCGCTGAAAATATAATGTATAATGTAAGGAGCCTTCTTTTTATTAAGTATGTACATACACTTTATTTGAAATGTAATCGAAACAATCTGGAACATCATATACCGTTTTACATCTTTTTATGTACAAGAACTTGATCGTGGCCGATCGTGTGAAGACGATCTTATGCACGTCTTATACATAGGTGCGCATAATTCAAAGAGGATTTATATCCGCACATTTTAACCCTTTCAGTACGAGAGTTAAATAGTCGCAGAGCTATACTCGGAAGAATAATTTAATTTGCAGAATAACATTTTGTATAATAACATTTAGTCTCCAAACAGTCAGACAGATGTATGCGGAGCGAACTAAAATATGTCGCTGTGTAAAAGAATAAAAGTGGGCACTTAAGTAATACAAATTTTCACAATTAATTTTTGTAAAATTAATTAAATTTATCAAAACGTCCAATATTTTTTCAAAATGCTTTTCTCTACTACTACTATATTTAAAAATATAATCGACAATGTACTGAAAGGATTAATAAGAATAATACAGCTTTGCGTGTGTCCGTTCTCTACAAGATTGAGATAGTAAATCGGCCTCTTCCACGTTGTGCGATTAAAGTGTTTATTATCGAGAAGTTGAAGTACTAACAACCCAGTAAGCAAAATATCAGCAATGTTGGCAGATTGACAGCAAATTGAATCAAATTTGATTGAATGGATTAATTGGATGAAAATTTCATCCAATTAAATCAAATTTAATCCAATTTGCTGTCAATCTGTCAATATTGCTAACATTTGTCTATCTAGGAGCAAACGTATAACACGCATTTCTTTTCGCCGCCAAATTTGCGAGGAAGTAGAGAGAAAGAAGAGGGGAAAGAGATATAAGGAAATAGGATCAATAATTAGGAAAAAGATTCGACGGAATCAAGCTGGATAATATAATCAAAGGTAATCGAACGGACGAATGATTTGTCTGAAACATAGTCGATCGGTCAGTCATTTCTTTGCGAATTGCGTCGACATAATCTCGTGATCACTGAATCAATAGTCGCTATACATATCTCGCATCATGTCTTCCATCCTATTCATCCTCCTCCTCTGCTTCTGGCGTCTGGATGGATCGCTGGATACATGATTAGAGATAGATGACCGTATTTCGTCGTCCTTATCGAGATTCTAAAATAATCGAACAAAATATAAACGGTGTTTCCTTATTAACATTCTACAAAAAATATCTAATTTTTAATTTATTCTTATTTCAATTTATCTCATTTACTTATTTTCTTGTATAATTTTAATAGTTTTATGTTTATATTTTGGTAAAAATATGATTTATCCGCGTAAATAAATGCGAAAAAAATCAAAGAAATAGATTAATTAAATCAAGCAAGAGATTAAGTTACTTTTCTTGAAATATTACTCATTTGTTTCGTGTTTCTCATTTTACTAATGTACCACAATCAAAGTAACAAAAGCTCTTACTTACGTCATGGAGAAGCGCCATCAGGAATTTCATTCTAGGAAGCCTGCAATCAGCCTCTTCGCAATCTAAAGCGCGCATGACATTTAGGGGCACCGCGCGCTTCCTCGTCATTACACCTCGGCAGGAAGAGTGATAGGGATACAGTCTGTAATAACAATTCCATTTTATTTTATTCGATTCTGCTTTTCACATAAAAAAAAAGTTATAAACGCGAAACTTACTCGCAATCCACCGCATTGACCCAAGACTGAAAGCAGCACACGAGAACGGCGAAGATGATTATAGATCGTTGCAGAAACGTCTGAAACGTAAAAAAAGTTAAGATTATATAATTACGTAAATTGCAAATATTTATTTTATTCATAATATATCTTAATTATATATGATTGAATGGGTAGTTGAGAAAACACTGTATGTTACAAATTAAAAAAAATTTTTTTTTAGAAAAAAGCATTGAATACGATGACAGTGAATTGTATTTATTTCACTCTACTTTTGCTCAAAATATGGCATTACAGCTTTTCACAGTTTAAATTTTACATTCATTTCGTAAAAGAACGTTGAATGTTATAATACTGACATTTGAGATACAACTGGTAGCGAAAATAAAAAAATCGTGGAAAAACGTTGTATGTAAAGTAAGGTACCGCGAATAGCTCTTAAACATGAACGTGCGTAGTATTCTTAGTTTCTTGTAAAATTTATATAAAATGTAATATACAACGTTTTCTCAGAGCCTTCAATTATACACAAAAGTCAACGAAAAAATTCGCTGTTTTGCTTGGCCGCAAATTACTTTCCGTTGTTCTTCATTTATTAATAACTTCGAAATTCTATTGCTAGTTAAAAGGTCAGAATACCTGCGTCACTACTTAAGAATAATCAAGAGTGATTCGTGTGAAGTTACCAACAAAATTTTAATGAACTCCTAATGAGCTTATAGCGCGAAGTGCGACAATCAGAGCTAAGCCGATTTTAACTAGATCGATGCGCCAAATTAACGCTGTCAGCGGTCAGCGGAGGAGCGGAAAGAACCGCTGTAAAACGTCACCTCGAGATGAAATACTGACGATCTTACGTGCCGAGACACAGAAGTTGCGAAAGAATAGATAGCGCGCGTCCTAATGATATCCCGCGCAAAAGGTCATTTCGT